AAAAAGCCAGAAGCCTGACTCTGCTCCCTGGATTCGAATTCATAAATAAACTTCTTTCCACTAGTTTTCCTGCCTCTCAATTTATTAGTGTTGAGGGTAGCAGCCAAGCATTACTTGGACCATAACAGTTCCATGAAAAAAAGCAGCTAATTCAGTTTCCAATTCACTCACTGAATGGTTTTTCCCCATGAGACCACCATTGCGAGTTGGTATGCAACAGAATTGTTTTATGCATAGTAACCATTTTGTCACACAGAATATAAAACAGATGTGAACTCAAGGATTAATAGGTAACCAAATTAATAACTTTTACTGATTCATGAAAGGGTATTCTTAGGTGATACCTTAACTATTACTGTGAATGTGTGGCAATGAAGAATATAAAGACTGACAGTGAAGTTTGTTTCCACGGTCTTAATTCATACTAAGATGATAGCAGTTTTACCCACCATTACTTTTGCATCTACAGAGGACATGTCAACACGGGTCGGGGGGGGAAGGTAAATCATGTATTGTATCATTATGAAAATAGTCTTGACCTTGTTACTCCTAAAAGTGTCAGTGTCTTTAAGACATGAAGCATTCATGGACCACCACTTGAGAACTATCATAATTAAATGTCCCCACTCCTGGGGCTTATAATACAAAAGTAATGAATAACGCAATACCTACCCTGAAGGAGTTCACAGTCTCAACACAAGAGGTAAGCAGTTAGACAAATAACTGTATCATGTTGAGTGCTGTAACAGAGGTAGGTATTAGAAACATTGATAGTTACAAAAAAAAGATGAAACAACTGGATTGTATATCCAAAATCGGAATAATTGTTAGGCATCAGTTTTAATTCCTATTTCTTTCCAAAATAAGTCTATTTCATTTAATTCAAGTATGAGTTGAGTTCCTATCAAGGTATTAGGTGGTGTGAAGAAACTTAGTTTTTGAGGCCGGGCACAGTGGCTCAGCCTTGTAATCCTAGCACTTCGGGTGGCCGAGGCGAGAGGACTTCCTGAGCCCGGGGGATTGAGACCAACCTGGGCAACTTGGTGAGACCTCATCTCTACAATAAATCACAAAAAAACTAAGCAGGCATGGTGGCGTGTGTCTGTAGTTCCACTACTTGGAAGGCTGAAGACAGAAGGATCTCCTGAGCCCAGCAGGTCAAGACTACAGCAGCCGTGAGCGTGCC